CTTAATCAGCTATAATAGGTCTCCTAAAAATGAAAAAAGTAATCATCATATTCAATTCAATAAAAATAATAACTTATGAAATAAAATGGTTGCACACAACCTAAGATGCATGTTTCTTGATTCAACTGAAAAGTGAGGATGCACATTATTAAAGTGTTTCCACGCTTCGCCGTCAAAAGGATGCACCATTAATCCATCAACCACATCATGTGATTGGTGCCATGTCATGTGCTCAACTATCCTTAGTGACATGAATAGCCTTTATAGTCTAGGTGTGATTGGGAAGTATGTAAGTGTTTTATATGTCACTAAAATCTTTTCCTCGTCAATTTTGGGTTTGTAATGGGAATGCCCGCATGTCATGCACTCAATCAGCTCAGTATTTTTAAGGTAGTATAACATGCAAAAGTTAGGGTACATGGCAATTTTCTAGTATCCTAAATTGAGGTGTTTCATCATGGACTTTGTAACATAAAAGTTCTCTTTCAACCTGTTCCCTTCAAGTAAAATGCTTCTTGCCTATTCAATAATTTTTTCATACCTGGCCTTATTCAACCTGTGATCTGACTTGATGGTGAACACTTATTGATTAGTACTTAAAAATATATTTTTATCAAGGTTTTATATCAGCATTTTACACTTGAAGTATCAATAACTCCTTAACTAAAGCATGTTTTATAATAATAAGTCTGATATTATAAGATACCTATAAATTATAGTAAATATTCATTTTAAACGTAGGCATATCACATAAATTAAAGGATTAGTTAATAAGTTCAACTACTTAAATTGAGAAGACAAAGAGAGGGTGAAGTTTAGAAAAATGATGTTAGCTTTTTTGAAACTGGAACACTATTCAGTCATTGGGTCATTTCTGAAGCCGTAGATCTTGGATTTTAATCTGGTTTATATGGCTATAAAGCTAAGACATAGACCTAAAATATTCATACGAATACAAGACTCAATTCAGCTATTTGGAAGTCCAAATCTTAGCAATAATGGAGAAGTCCGAATGTGTCCAGCAACCTAGACACTGTTCAATGTTTAGCCCATATCTTAAGTTATAAAAGTGCAAATGACCTCAATTTTTTTTTTGGAAAAATGAGATAATTTCCTATAACTTCCATGATTTAAGTCTGTTCAAATTCTGATGTTGGCAATAATGTTTTTGGTAGATAAAAAGATAAGAATTGTCACCAAGTCAAGAATTGGTCACCCGCTCAACAATTAGTTATCAAATCAATAGTTCTAAATTTTGGCCTATAGAAGGAGGTATTTGCCATGTATTTAGGCATCTTAGTTTTCAGATCAAGATCATATTCATGCTCTTTCTCTTTATATTTTTGTAATGTTTAAGTTTTTCTTCATTAATCTCTTATTTATGTTTTTCATTTCCTTTTCTTTATTTAATTAACTTATATCTTATTTATATTTTTATATTGTTTATTTATGTTTCTCTTATTTCATCTTGTTTAGATAAGTTTATTATGTCAAGTTGAAAAGGTTACAATGATGGTATAGGAATAAGTATAGTATATACTCAACATGGACTTTAATGTTTGATACGTATTTATTATCTTGTTCACTCTTAATACTTTACTGGTTAAATGGTTAATCTAGATTTATGTTATATAACACTTCGCACAACAAATACTTGGCATTTTTATAGCCCAACCGTATGGTATAACCGATACTTGTGCTATAAAAGAAACTTGATTTATTATTGACATAAATTATAATCATGAATACCTAACAATATTGACAAGTATTAGCATTATTCAAATAAGATAACTAATATAATTATGTTAATCATTTATAATCCGATTGGAACCTTCTTTCGTATGGTTTCCAGTTGAAAAAAAGAGTTTATACTATACTTATTTGAAATACCATTACTGGATCCTCTAACCTTGATATTAATTTTTATCATTGTTTAATCCTCACATTAATCTTAGATCTCAAAGTCCTCTTTAACTTATTATTGTTATTGTTGTTGTTGTTGTTGTTGTTGTTGTTGTTATTGTTGTTGTTATTATAATTATTGTTATTGTTATTGTTGTTATTGTTGTTGTTATTTATAATTTATACAGTTAATCTCCATGTGGTTCAACCCCGGTTTTGCCAAGTTATTTATTACTTCGACACTCCTATACTTGAGAGAAAGCATCAATCTTTGCTCATGTCACCTGTTTTACGACTGATAATTTACTGTGGTTCGTGCAACCATCCCATAATGGTTTATCAGAATCTTTCAACAAATAAAAAAACCTAGCTACATCTATATTAGGTTCTTCTTTTACAATTGGATATTGATTAACATTACCTTGATTCATTCTCATTACATCCATAATCATATTCCTGTAAAGATTAGTATTGTCATTTGTTGCTTCATGCGCATTGCTAGCACTAGAAGTTGACCCAACCACCCTTTTTCCCATTATTTTCTTACTAACAAATACTTCTCTATGTGCATACCAACACCGGTAATTCTTCATAAGCCTTTTGTGTAGAAGATGCATCATTACAATATCTGGATGCAGATACTTTTTATTTTGACACTTCCTACAATACTTTTTATTTTGACACTTCCTGCATGGACACCCAATACTGCCTCCAGTAAAATTTCTAAGAATAGATGTTGTGAAATTAATAAAACTCTGGACCCTATTATAATAATTCATCATCTACAATCCTTGGGGTGAATCTTGCTACATACATGAACAATCATCTATAACTTTTATCAAACCTCTATAAAATTATAATGACAACATGTATTGATTTACCTCGAGATTATCCAACAAACCAATTATAACTTCTCATAAATATTAAATATTCATTATCAATTATCAATTTTCATAAAAATTAATACATATAAATTTACAAAAATTACAACTCTGCAATACCATTGATAAAAATTAAAATGGATATGTTAAACAAGCTATTAATTATTTCAAAACAACACATGTACACATGTAATTCGGTAATTCAATAAAGTTTTAACAATTTACAAACAAATCCAATTTTACAAAATCTAAAACAAACTATAACAAGTATAAAATTGTATATTCATATACTACAAGTTTATTTGAAAAATAACAATAGAACATGTACATATACTAAATAAATACATATACTAAAAAAAATTGACATTTAAATGTTAAAATTTAAAAAGATAGAATTACTTACAAAAATTAATAAAATCCATTGGTAAATCAAAACACGGATGTTATGATAACAAAACTTCAAGAAATATAACTTATTATGCTGAGAAGAGCGAGATTTTTTTTTTTTTGGGAGGGGTAGTTGTTTGTAGTGGGGAGAGCTGAGATAGGGAAGAAGGAGAAATAGAGGAGGAGAGGGTCGATAAAGTGAGCATATATTAACTTTTGCTGACGGAGGCTATTCTGACCGTAAACAGGGCATGTAGTACGAAGATTTAGGTTTGAATTCCTCGGTGATTTCATCAGCATTTCAAATGGTCACGTCACTATACGGAGTTGCCGTTTGAATCCCTCGGTGATTTTGTCAGTAAAATTATCCTTAAAAACCTCCACGTTAGCCAACCGTATTTTTTTTTAATTATGAATATCTTGTCTGACATTCCATCAATAAATACCAATCGAATGTGTCTATCAGTATATACTAGTAGAATGATGGACAGAAAAAATTTCATCGGTAATTGTTAGCTCAAATTACTAATAGAAGTATTATGTTAGTAAAACTGTTGGTATTAAACGAATTTCCTATAGTGCCAATTGGAGCTACTTTGATCTAATAACTATATATCTGGTTTAAGTTAGAGCTAGAGATCAGCATGCCTGAAGAAACACTAACTACAAAAATTAACCTAATAAAAAAAATTTAAAAAGCAGCTTTTGTTATTAGATTCATAAGATACGAATATAGCTATAAAAAATATGATTATTGACGAGGTCTAGAAAAAATTCCATGAGATTAAGATTTTTATGGGTTGAAAAGTTGAAGATAGAATGTTATATTTGAAAATCATGAGCTATGCAAAAACAAGTAATTTATTGAGAATAGAGAATTTTTTAATGCTTAGGTAATTAGCGCATATGTAAAAGAAATAAAACCTTAGATATTGTGTAGTGTAGGTGTTTAAGCTGAAGAAAAAAACGAAGAAGAAGAAGAATATGCTGTAAGAAATCTGGAAATTAGAACTTGTTGATATTTATATATAGTTATGAACTACGTCAACTTACATGAAAACAAAGGTAAAATGAGGAAAATATTATAGTATTAGTGATCACTTAGGGTAATGTAATGGCTAATGATTCTCTGTTAAATGAAAAAATAATATTAAATGGGTCATATATATTGCATACGAGCTAGCATCTCTAATGTCGTTTTATAGACCTAGTTATAACCTAGTTATACTAGAAGGATATGAAAATATTTAATCCTTAACACTAACCATGTTGAAGAAGTAGGTGGAGTAGTTTGAGTTGAGGGTGTGTTTGTTTGGGCTTGTGCCTTCGGGGGTGTTTTCGCCCAAGCTGGTGCTCTCAGGTATGTTTGCTTCGCCACCCGAGTGTGAGACCTTAACTTCTAGCTCAACTCAATCTAGAGACTAGTGTGTTGTGAGTCAGCTGGGTTAGCTGAGTTTTGTGAGTTTCGAGTCACCCTTTCTAGTCTACAAGAGCAATGAGCTTGATGATGTGACTGGATCCAAAGAGGTATAATTTACACTTGGGCTTTGAACTTCCGAGTACGCTTCGCAACCCATTAGATTTTCAGGCTTTTACTTTGAATTTCCCCTCATACCCTGCATCATACGCCTGGTGATTAGAGGTTTAAATCTTAAACCCATCAATTACATTTTATTTCTAAGAGAGATTAATGCAAAATACATGGAAGTACGAAAACGTAAGACTTGCAATAAAGGAAAACATCTTAGCTGAATATTTGCTATATAACCAAATTCCAAAGAAAATCAACCCGCAATATGGAGGTAGTATAAGACAAGCAACAATTACTAATCACGTAAATCCACAAGTGTAGGAAACACTGCAAGAGTCATCAATCTTGATAGTGTATTCATGGCGAGGCCTTGAAAGGAAGGGTGGCAAGCGAACCAGTAATTCACAGATACATTCGTCATCCACATCATTAAGCCACCGGCAACAAGTATCTTCTTGCGTTCCTCCATGGCCATGCCTCTGTCCGTTCCTATGCCCGTGGTTGTTATCATCATCTGCAGGGAAGACAACGGTGGAGGGAAGGGAGGTGGCAGCTGGTGGCGCTAGAATTAAACTTCCACACGCGTAGTTCACCAGTGCAATTTGGGAGACACATAATGGGCGTTGAGGCATAGGAGTCAGCTGGCCATTAGCGTCGAACACAAGTAATAAGAAGACAGCGAAAAATGTAAGCACAAGAACCTTGAGATTCTCCATATGTAACTACAGTATATGTATATCTCTCTATTTGCAAGTATACATGCACCAGTACGAATTGAATGTTTCTGAATCTGATATAAATCCTAGCTAGCCTTGCCTTCCTTATATACGGATGTTCTGCAGTCATAACCTTTTTGTTTCTAGTAGTTGAAGTTTTGATGCTTTGGAAGATGATTCAAGTGGTGATCAGGAGCGAGGCTGATATGTTTAGGTCTACATTAGAGAAGAGAACAGTTTCTGAATAGTTACAGAAAGGGCATTCGTTTTGCGTGCTAAACAGTTAGGTCGCCTATTGTACAAGCATGAAAGTTCATCTGGGACATTTGACTAGCATTTTTTTTTAATATATATTAACATGAATGTTCCGACAACTTATACACATCTTTATTAATTTTACAATTTAAAATTAATAATTATATAAACTTATAGTTATTTTAAAATTTCTAAAACTTGAATTATTAATTTTTAAAAAACAAATTTAAAACTTGATTACTTAAACTATAATCTTATAATTTATAATTGCAATCTTGTTCCTCCGCTACCCATGGAAACCATCTTATTCTACAAGGAAGTCGACTGGAAGCTTTGCTCTTTTCTGTTCACAGTTTCCCTGGTGGCTTATAATTAAGAGGTTCATCTTTCATTGATTCCATTTTCAAGTTTTTGATTGTTTAGTTTTTTTTGCAGTAAAAAAAAATTGAAAAAGAATATAAACAATATAGTTCAAAACTTATTTAAAAAAATAACACATGGGAAGTCACATATAAAATATACATTGTGATGCTCTTATTAAAATAAATGTAAGAGATATATTTTAAAATTAAGATTTAAAAAATAAATCAAATTCTACACTTCAACAAGAATAAGTGCTCTATTCTTATAAAAACTCTACAAGATCAAGTATTTTATTCTTATAAAACACTTAATTTAAAATCTTGTGCATAATTCTTTTTGTTTTTGTTTGTAGAGTTTGTATAAAAATAGAGTTAATAAAATTTATTTTATTTTTTAAGCTATAGGTACCTCGTTATTGTCAAGCTAAAAAAAACATTAATTAGTGCCAATAAGGACGTACATACGTTTGCAAAAAATGCCTGTGACACAGAATTACGTCCTCATTGTGTGGACGAATTTTTTTGGAAAAAGGAATGAAAATAATAGTAGAAAGAAATAATATAAACATGTTTTGGAAAACTTGTATTAGTTTAAAAATAATTATATTGAATAATAATTAATGAATTATACTTGTTATTTATTGTCTAATCTATTTTATTTGCAGAAATAATTTAATTTAAAAAACATTGACATGGAGTTTTTTTTATAAGTGTAATTTTTCCTGTTTATCTTTTTATGTTTTTTTTTATGTTATTATATTGTTTGTTAGTTTTAATCTGAAATATTTATAAGTGAAGAGATATTAATATCTAATGATTATTAATAATTTTATCCCAAGCCTCAGCTTAGCTTTCGAGTCCATGAGATAAAATCAAACATCATTAGTGATGTCATCTATGAAAAAATGATCAAAAAGTTATGGATCACTCTTTCAGGAGCCAGGCCATTATCATCCTTAATTACTAGTGGAATTGGAACTTTAAAGTTTTAGAAAGCCTTCAATGGCTACCAACAAAGTATTGGTTCAATCCATGAAACTTTAGGATTTATTGCAAATCGAGGACTCTTACCAAGCTAATAAACCTAACAGAATAGATGATCCCTAAATATAGAGGTTACCTTCTCTTTTACTAGTCATATTTTAACAATAAGTTAAGAAACTATGTTTATCTAGGATGACTACCTAGAAAACCTTCATGGAAGAAACGCAATTCTATATCTTTTTTAGGCCCTCATAATAGGATAGAAATTTATTATAGTCAATGACTTAGAAATATAAGTTTCTTGTATATGAATTATATTGTTCAAAATAACAAATGATTTTTACTCTTTAAGTCTCAACTCTACCAAATATGGGATAGATTTACTCTGTTTAATGAGATAACATATTTACTTTAGAAATAATGAACATCTTCTTAGTGCTACAACATATTTAACTTGGAAAGGATTGAAATATTCTCCCTACTACGATCACATTGTTCTTCAAGGATGTGATAGACACTGCATTAACAATGAGAATGGATATAGTCTCCTTAAGGCGCACACCTCTCAAATCTTCCAAAGATGTGATAGATTTACTCTCCATAGTGCAATATGAAATTTACTTTAGAAGTAATGAATTTCTCGATAATGTTAAAACATATTTTACCTTGGAAGGGATTGATATGTTTTTCTTGGTGTGATCGCACTTTTCTTCAAGGATTGGATAGATATTGCATCAGTAACACAGATGGATAAAGCCTCTGTATAATTCAAACCTCTCAATCTTACTCTCTTTATTATGATAACACATTTACTTTGGAAGTAATGAACATTACCCTACTGCTATGACACATTTTACTTTGAAAGGGATTGACATATTCTTCCTAGTGCGATTGCTCTTTTCTTTATTGATGAAATAGACACTGCATCAATAACGGGGATGGATACGGTTTCTCCAAAGCATAAGCCTCTCAAATCTTCTAAAGATGTGATGGATTTACTCTCCCTAATGTAATAATACATTTACTTTAGAAGTAATGAACATCTCCCTAGTTCTAAAACATATTTTACCTTGGAAAATATTGACATGTTTTCCTGGAGCAATCGCACTTTTCTTCAAAGATGGATAGAAACTGAATCATAAATGGGGATGGATACGGTCTCCCTAAAATACAAGCCTCTCAAGTCTTCCAAAGATTGGATGGATTTACTCTCCTTAGTGCAATAATATATTTACTTTGGAATTAATAAACGTTTCTATAATGCTACAAAACATTTTACCTTGGAAGGGATTGACATGTTATTCTTAGTATAATCACACTTTTCTTCAAAGATGATATAAAAACATTGTATCAACAATACATCTTCTTAAAGAGCAAGCCTACCAAATCTTTCAAATATAGAATGGATTTACTCTTTCTACTATAATAGAACATTTAATTTGGAAGTAATAGATGTTATCCTAGTTCTATAGTACATTTTACCTTGAAAGGAATTGATATGTTCTCCCTGATGTGATTACACTTTTCTCTAAGAATGAGATAAACACTACATCAACAATAAGTAGACGTCTGCAAATTATATCCCTTCTCAGTTCCTAAAAGCCATAACCATCATAAACTCTTCTAATGTTAGATGATTCATTGCCCATCACTAAAAATGTTCTTTTAAGGTTGGGAATTGGACCTAGAAATGATAGCCTAAGTATGGGATATAAACTGCATTAGAAATGGGGATGGATACGGTATTTTTATAATACAAGCCTCACAAATCTTCCAAAGATTAGATGAATTTACTCTTCCTAGTTTGATAACATATTTACTTTGGAATTAATAAATGTTTCTATAGTGCTACAAAACATTTTACCTTAGAAGGGATTGACATGTTCTTTCTAGTACGATTACACTTTTCTTCAAAGATAGGATTCAAATTGCATCAGCAATGGGAATGGATACAATCTTCCAAGAATGCAAGCCTCTCAAATCTTTCAAAGATTGAATGGATTTACTCTTCCTATTGCTATAACACTTTTACTTTGAAATTAATGAACGTCTCTATAATGCTACGAAACATTTTACATTGGAAGGGATTGACATGTTCTTCCTAGTGCGACCATACTTTTATTCAAGGATGAGATAGACATTGCATCAGCAATAAGGATAGATAAAGTCTCCCCAAGGTGGAAGCTTCTCAAATCTTCCAAAGATAGGATGGATTTACTCTTTCTACTTTGATAGAACATTTACTTTAAAAGTAAAGAATGTCTCTCTAGTTCTATAATACATTTTAGCTTGGAAGAGATTGACATGTTCTCCCTAGTGCAATCACACTTTTCTCCAAGAATGAGATAGACAATACATCAACAACAAGCAGAGATCTGCAAATTATATCCCTTCTAGGTTCCTGAAAGGCATAACCATTCTAAACTCTTCTAAGGTTATATGATTCATCGCCCATCACAAGAAATGATCTCTTAAATTTAGGAAATGGACTAGAAATGATCTTTTAAATATGGGCATTGAACCCAAAAATAATCTCAGAAGTATTAGTATTGGACCGAGACAAGAACTCTACACAAAGACTCTAAGCTTATAGAAAGCAATATGGAGATAAAAGAGTTCTATTATTTAAAAAAATGATGTATATGAAAGAAGAATACATATACATGTATAGAGGGATCTAAGAATTCAACTCAGGCTCCTCAACTAGATACTCTCCTTGTTAGGCTGCAGTGGCCCTAATCAGGAATACATCTGTGAAATTAAGGACTATGTCTGAATAGAAGGCCATGCTAAGTTTAATAATTCTAACTAATCATAACCATCAAACAACCACAGCATCCACACTAGTAATTTAATTCAATGGCAACCTTAAAAACTAGATAAATTGATTAATCAAGAAAACATAATTGTTTGCAGTCTATACTTGATTTGATTGAATGTTCTCCCTAATATTAATAATGTAGATCTGCTATAATTATTAAACTCAATTGCTTCACAAGTTCACATATCATAACTTCAGTTATGATATCAAACTTAGCAATAGATTGTTTACAACAATAACTTAGAGTCCGCTCCAGCAATTAAAATAAAAATCATAGAAAAAATGAGTATAGGAGAAAAAACATATTCATCATATAAACTAGAAAGAAAAGATAAAATAAATCTTATAGATCTTGAAATCCGAAGGCATCCGTGTCCTTGCAAACAAAAAAAAGAGTTTAGCCTTGCATATTTGTTAAACAACTAATCAAAAAGAATGAGGAACGTATGATTTCAAGTTTCTTAGAGGAAGGGGGTGTTTTTCTCTTCTTAACTGGTTGCCCCCCTTCTTTTTATATCCTAGGAAACCCTACTTTTTATTTTACAAAATAATCCTTCCTTAAATAGACAATTTACATT